TATTTTAATTTAAAATTTTAAACTATTAAAAGAAGTTTCGTAATATAATTTATATTATTATTTAACTTACTGAGACTTTTACATAGACTCTCGGATTGACTAATGGGGAATGCTAGTATGGTCCATTGCATGATGTGATCTTTGAACTCTAAATTTCATCTTTGGCTTGGAAGGGATGGAATGACAAGCACCTTGCAGCTTGCACTTTACCTTAGGTCAAGAGTTTTCATTTTCATGCCTCTTTTTTCTCATCGTCTTATCGGTTATGGTCCCTACAAACGGTATTGTTTCCTATATATATATAAAAAAAAATGCAATTTAGATGGAAATATGGATGAAAAGCTTAAAAATGAATGGAAGCCCATAAAGAATTTATGAAAATTTGATTGTAAAATTGATACCAAAAATAGTTTGGATGCAAAATTGAGATTGCTTAAATAGTTAGAAAAGTATTTTTGAGACTTGACGTTTTTCCTTTTTTTTTTTTCTCAAATATAATTGAGCTCTTCATATTAGTTTTTATATCAAAATTAAATTTTTATTTATTCAAGTTTTAGTCGAATCATTCAATTATCATTATTATTATCATCATCGTCATGGAGTGTCATGTTTTCAATAGCATCAAATGTAATTTTATTTTCAATAGCATCAAATGTAATTTTATTTTTAAACATGTACAATTAATGCATAGTTTCTGTTTTTCAATATATAATCAATCACAAATTATATTTTTTAGTACATTAAGTGACATAAGTTTTTTGATTTTCTAACATCAATGCTTGTGAGAGATTGTTGTAGATGATAATAAAAAGGCTCATGTTATAATAGGCTCATTTTTTTAAAAAAGGGGGAAAAAAAAGGAATAAGATGATAGAGACTCGAGTGGTCGCATCAACCAAATTGGGTGGCTTTTTTCTTTCCATCGTGTGGTGGTTGTTGATTTTGTGTCATTGCTTTTCCTTTATTGAGATTTTGGAAACTATATTTGAATGGACCAAAATATCCAATCTCTTTCATGGATATACATATATATTTAGGTCCCATGATTTATTCATAAAAAATTTCCTTGTCACCTAGGGTTGTTGACCAAAGATAGTAGCATTGGTCATCAAAAATATTCGAATCAGTATCTAACAACAATTACATGATGTTATAAAATAAAATAAAATAAAAAAAGACAAGCATTATATGATGTTATAAAATAAAATAAAATAAAAAAAGACAAGCATTATATGATGTTCAAATAAAAAATATTGTGAAAGAATAATCTTTTTGTCCAATATTGAAGAATGTTTCATTCCAAACGTAATTTTTGTTGCAGAAATCTCAAATATACCCTTGACTAATTATTTGAACAGTATCAATTTTGAATCCCAATTTTTTTTTATATATAAATTTTATTCCTAAATAATTTGGATTTTTCAATTGAATTTTTTCCTTGGAATTCTTAACAGTAAACATTAATTTTCCTACAAAATGCTGACATTTCCTTACCAAAAAAGAGTATAATTTGAATGGAATTCGTGATCAGATATTTTGAGACTTACCTATTTTTCCTTGCCACAAACAAACAAAGTACTTCTGTCCCTCTCTAAAAAAATAAAAAAATCTAATTTGTAGCCATAAATTTGTAATCATATTTCTTTGTTGTAGGCACTATAATAAAAGATGAAATAGATAGATAGTTTCTTCTTCTTTTTTCGTTGCACATACAATTTAAAGGTTTGTAGCATTTTGAATTATGTAATGTCCTCCTTTTAATTTGAAAAATGATATTAACACTCCAAAAAATAAAATTTAAACCTATAGATATATAGCAGAAAAGATTTTCTATTTACACACTATCGTTCGCTAACCCACCGTTGTATACTAATAATTTTATATTTATCGTTGATTTTCGTTGCTATTTAGTTATTTTTTCATAATGTTTTTGCTCTTGATAAATATTGAAATTACATTGTCTTTTTTCATATTCCAAATTTTTTCTTTTTTCGTTTTTTTAAGCAAATAACTAAAATAATAATTATTTTTTTCTTCATAATACGTTAATTCTAAAGCGAATGATTTAGATAAGACCTGATTAATCAAACCGCAATCTTAGGGCATGAAAACCAAGAGGAAAACACCTTCTTATATTATTAAAAAAAAAATATATATATATATATATAGGGCAAATCACACCTAAAATTTGGTAATTTTAACCTTTGATTGTAATTATGGGATAGCTAACTCTTGCATTTAAAATTGGTGACCTTACTTAGAGCTAAATAAGACAGTTGAGATTTACCTATTTTTCGTTGTATCCCAAGTGTCGGCCACAAAAAATAAAGTAGTTTGGTCCCTCTCTAAAAAAATCTAATTTGTAGTCATATTTCTTGGTTGTAGACACTATAAACGATGAAATGGATGGTTGGTTTCTTCTTCTTTTTTTGTTGCAGATACAATTTGAAGGTTCCTAGAATTTTGAATTATTTAATGTTCTCCTTTCAATTTGAAAAATGATATTAACACTTCGAAAAACAATCTTAACCTATAGCTATATAGCAGAAAATATCTACATACATTATCATTCACTAATTCGGAATTGTGTACTCATAATTTTATATTTGTCATTGATTTTCGTCGTTATTTAGTTATAGTGTTTATGTCCTTAATAAATATTAAAATTACACTGTCTTTTTTATATCATCATTTCACATTCCAAATTTTTTCTTAAAAGAAAAAAGCAAATAACTAAAATAAGAATTTTTTTCCTTCATAAATACTTTAATTCGGAAGTGAATGATTTAGATAAGATCTGATTAAGCAAATCGCAATCTTAGGGCATGAAAACTAAGAGGAAAACACCTTCTTTTATTTTTAAAAAAAAAAAAAAGTGCCCAAACTATAAGGAAAATCACACTTATAGTCCCCCTAAGTTTTATATTTTGATAATTTTAAACTTTGATTATAATTATGGGATAACTGACTCTTGCATTTAAAATTTGTGACCTTACCTTGAGCTAAATAAGATGGCTGAAGTTGCAACGATGAAAAGCTTTTAATTCACTTATTCATAAAGAGTTTGGAAGATTTAACTCCCAACTGGTTTATTGATTTAGACCAAATAAAGATCAAAAATAGATTTAATGAAATTTTTTAAGAAGTAATATGATTTCAACTTAGAAGTAATTTTTAATAGAATTTTGACTGAAAAATGTCATGTATACTGATATAATTAATAGAAATTTAGTTTATGTATTTTTTATTTAACATTAAAAAAATGCTAATAAAATTGAAAAAATATAGTTTTTTATACAATAAAATTTTAGAAAAAAAATCACTAAAAAATTTAATAGAAAAATATTTTGAAATAAATATAAATAGAAGGGTTGATGATTGTTTAGATAGAAAAATTATTATTATCAAAATCCATCTCTTTCAAAAAATCACATGCCCACTACCTAATTGTGTCCTTGGACCTTATTCAATAGGGTAGCAAAGCAACATCAACAACGAAGGTGCAAGCACCTTAGGTGATTCATTGGTGAAGCAAAAGCAACTTCCCATTGTCCAAGGCAGCATAATTTAGGGTTTGATGATCTATCATGATTAGGACGAATTCAGACCTTGCAACAAGCTTGAATACAGCAGGATAAGGTATACTAATATTAGCATTGAATTATTGATTTGACGTGATTCACGAGAAAATTTTATAGGACCCTATCAACCAAGACCATTAGCTTCGACTTTAACTTTACACGTGTTGGTAAATGATTCCATTGTCTGATTTCTTTTTCGTTGTTGATGGGCATCGTGTCTGGTTACCATTGTAAAATGGTTATGGTCAGAGATAACAACCATCTAGAAATCATCAATCTCTTACATGTGTTCTTGGCTCATTGATTCATCCACAGAAAGGAAAAAAATGGAGTTTCGCATCTTCTACCAAAATTTTTTAGACTAATTCAATCCAGCAGAATTCGTTTAAATGGAAGAAACTCTAATTGTTATTAAAAAAAATAATTTTGAATTCGAATAAAAAAAAAACATTCTGAATAACTATACATACGTTCTGTACCTCAATCAAACAAAAACAATAAAAGATGGAACAATAAAAGATTAATATGAGATTTGAACATAAGATATTGAAAACCCAAAAAAAAAAAAAAAAAAAAAAAAGACTAATTCTACAATGCTAGGCCAAGTTTACCAACCATTGAAGCCCATAAACAAAAATCTGGACTTTTGGTCCTATTTTTTTAGCAGACAGGAGAGTTGGTCAACACAACTCCCAAGTCTCTTTTTTTCATTTTCTTCTTTGATGAATCCAAGTCTCCAACTTCAGGCAGGGTCGGTTTAACCAAGTTTTAAGAGATACATTGCCTTTCGTCCAATTCTACAATGCCTTCGCATAATTTATTGCGAAGCTTTGACCGACTGTTAGTAAAAGAAAGGGATGTCTTATCATTAACTTGACAATCACTCCTAGTGTTATGATTTGAAATTTTTAGTAGCAGTTTCACTCGAGTATGGCCTATTCTGATTAGATCATCTTGACTGTGCATGAATTACATGTATATCAGATAGAATACAAGAATTAACACAACCACAATATAATACACATTGTTGATTAATCTATAAACAGCAGCAAGAGAAAGGAATTGACATTTACTTCGTATAAATAGATCTTAGTAAATGAACAATTCAGGAGACACCGACTAGATGGATCATCGACTTTCTACTTCAACTGAAACCCAGATCAGTTTCCAGAAATTTTTTTACAGAAGAACATCTTGATTGCCTTCTGTAAAAAAATAAATTCCAAGTCTAATCCAATGAAAAAAATACTAGTAGGAATGACCGTTATATATATATATATATATATATATATATGCCATCAGAAGGAAAAACCGCTGCGCTTCTTTAGCTCAATAACGATCACGCTGATGTTATCTTTGCTACCCCGAGCCATTGCTAGCTCGGTTAGTACTGCTGCAGCCTCGGCTGCGCGGCAACTCTCACAACTCCTTGGGAATAAAACCGCCGCGCTTCTTTAGCTCAACAATGATCACGCTGATGTTATCCTTGCTACCCCAAGCCATTGCTAGCTCGGTTAGTACTGCAGCAGCCTCGGCTGCGCGGCAACTCTCGCTCACGACTCCTCGGGACTTCCTCCTCATCCGGCCAATCAGACATCTCTTTGCGATCTGGCATGCGAATTCGTTGGAGATGACATCCCATAGGCCATCACTGGCTAGGATGAGGAATTCATCATTTTCAGTTCGCTCATTCACAGTGACCTCGGGTTTGGATGATACAAATGGTTTGAGATGCTGATCACCTGCATCAAGATATCAAAGCCTTGTAAGGAAGAATATATATGGATAGGATTTCAGATTTAGAATAGCGAAGCCGTGATAAGTCGTGAGTATACTAGTTTCATTAGGGTTTAATTACTATGAAGTTCACTACAATTACACAACTGATGATCATCACATCATTCATGAAATTTGTTAATTCTGCTTATACTACCTTCGCAAACTAACCTAATGTCATTGGGATATTGAAGGGGTTCATGTCAAATTTCTTTATTTGAAAATGAACAGTTCCCTTACTTTCAGAGGAGAGAAATGATGCGTATAATTACACCAAATCGTAAGGATGGTCATCGGTGGTAAAGATTCGAACTCGAGACTTCTCGAATGGAGAGCAACGCTATTACTAAGTAGTTTGCATTTGATTAATGAGATCTGGTTGTGATATTTGTAATTTATTGTCTAAGATGGGAAGCAAGTTTTGCTCCTCTATGTGATTCATAATTCAAATCCAATGGGAGACTATAAGAAAGAAAATATTTCGTAAATGTTCGTGTGTGAAAATGATCTGCCTAATTTAGACATACCTATAGATCTGGAAGTGGAAAGAACTCCTAGAACACGGTGTCCATTCCAATTTATAACCCTTCCACCGGCAGCTTCAACTCTCTCCAATTCGTCAGGTCTGTCAGGCTTTGCAAAAAAGAGATGTCAACAAATTATTCATTTTAGACTGAAAAACTAAGAAAGACGAATCCTTTCAAAACAATTCACATGCATAGCATCATTCGTTCAGATATAATTGGCCAAGTGGACCAAAATATTAGGCTAATATGCTGTAAGCCCAAAAATATTGCATTTCAAATTAAAACAGAATGATCAAAATGGAAGAGGATGATCAGTAAATAATGGGAGAAATTGTGAGATCATGTGTCAATCAATTAACTGCCTTTCTCTAGTACTTTGAAATCCATTTTTCTCAACAAAATGATCCCTTTTACCCTCACATGGAATGATTTAATTTTTGTATCTTTTTCCACAAATTATTTGCAGTATCTCTCTGTCCAGTCCAGGGGAAAAATTAGCACCATAGATATTATTGGCCATTAATTCTAATTAAACAAATAAAATTCATCTATTTTCCCAATTACTTTCTTTTTTTTCTTTAGATAATCCCACATTTCAATTGATAGAGAATTAAATCATAAAATTATCAAATAGTTGCACTCAATTATGAGATTGATGGTCTAAATCTAAATTAAAAGATCAAAAACTAAATTTTAATCAATTTATTCATCATAACTGAAAACCCAAAAAAAAAAAAAAAAGAGGGCATTACCTTATGATCAACTGACAATGGCACAGCAACCCCACCTCTACAAATCACAGCTCTAGAATCCCCACAATTAGCCACCACAAGCTCCTCCTTCCCAACCACCGCAACAACCGCCGTAGACCCAACCATCTTATCCTTCATCACCTCCTCATCCATCTTCCTAAAAGAATCTTCCATCACCTTCTCCCACTCTATACCACCAACCCTTTTCTCTCCCCGCTTTGCCTCCATCATCTCCTCCACAATAACTCTATGCAACCTCTCTTTGCAAGCCTCCGCCACAATAGACCCACCGTGTCCATCATAAACACCAAAAAAATCATACTTCTTTTCACCTCCATTAAAATTCAAAAACCCCAACGCCACCTTTACGGTATCCTCCATTTCTTTCCTCCCTCCTATAACAGACGCTAACCCATAAGATAAAACAACCTCATCTTCCAAAACAACATCATTTCTCGGCGATGTTAACGATAAAGATATCTCCTTTGAGCCTCCATCATCACTAGCTTTTGCACCAAAAAATTCTTCTATCTTCTTCTCTTCTTTCTTTTCAGCACAAAAATTATCATCCCTCCACTCATTGCCACCATCCCCGCCAGAGATGGTCACATGGGATTTATTATTTAGACACGTATACTTCAGCCGACGGATTTTTAACCTTCTCCGACGAGAATTAAGCGTCTTAATCACTGTGAGTTGGTTCATTCTCACCGTAATCTATCTCAAAAGAGTCGTCAAGCCACAATACGAACAATAACTATACAAATTAAAGCAAAATTCAATCTTTTTAGTACCAAAACTATGGCCCGGAAAAAAGAAGCAAAACTCAAACTTTTGGTGCCAACTGCTTCACTTGCATGAGAAAGAACGCAATTTTGCAGTGGAAAAGGAAAGGGCATAATACCTTATGAGAATATATACAAATTAGCAATGATGGTTAAATAAAGCAATTTAGCAAGGACGATTAACTATAGCAGATGAAGGTTAGCCGTTGATCCTTTTCTGGTCCACTTGGACACTGCCACATGGGATCTATAAAAGCCTCTGGTTTGGGATTTTTAGGAATAGACGTGGAGGGCGGAGATTGACTAAGGGTTACGTGGGCGATGGATTTACAAGTTCGGGATTCGATCTGGTGGAGAGTGGGCCCAGGTGCGGAAATCTAGAATTTATTACGTGGCGTCTCTATCTGTCTAAAGGCGTAAATGCTCGGCTTTTTCGGGTGTTTCGATGTGTTTAGATCTGACAAGGAAGATTTTTAACTTAGAAAGGAAAAGATTCTTAGGACACGTGTTTAATGATGATGAGTCGCGTGTCTGATTAGCAGCTTTTGACGAACTTTCGTGTCGGGTCCGAAATTCTCGTGTTTTTATGTTGTTGGAGGCATGCTTGAATGTTAATATTTTAGGTAATGTGGGGTGAGATAAGAATTTGGAATATGGGTGAGAAAATTCTCATTTCGAATGATAATGAATTTTTTTAAAATAAAATTCATTTACTTGCTTAGAAAAAAACTATCCCAATTTTCTCCACCCCATCTAGAAATTTAGTAATTTTGATATCTAAACTTTTACTCCATTAAATTTTTCTGTATAATTTTACCTATTTTCGATTAAAAGATTTATTATCTGAATAAATTTGGATAATTCAAATAATCTGGCTTCTTAAATAATGTGTGAGTAGAAACTTTTCTAGAATAGATTTGGAAAATTAGCTTTTGAAATATTTTTTTAAAATAGTTTATTCATAGAGGAGGATGATGAGGGGAAAAAAAAGAAGAAGAAGAAGAAGCAATTTTGAACTATGAATATGTTATAAAACTAAATTATATATACTAAATCCGATTATATATTGAGAATACGTAAATAGCAATGCACATGTGTATTCTTATGTTAATGGAAAGGTAAAATGGCACCAAGTTAAATTTTTTTAGTTGATTGTTGAAATTATAACTATTATCCATTTTATTTAAAGAATAATATTAAAAAAATCATAATCTTTTATTAAAGGCAAATAATTGACAGTTATATTCAATTTAATTGAAGTGTCCGGTAGCATTAAAAACTATTTATTACAAATATTAAATTTTAAATATAGACGCATGTAGTATCAAATGTCATCATAAATACATGCAAGGTTGTAAAAGTATTTTCAAAAATTAAATTCTTTACTTTTTTTATATAATATTAAAATTGAAAAAATTATTTTTACTACATTAAAATCTTAAATTCACGATGGATAGTAATAATGGGCGGTGGTGAACATGAAAACAATGCTAGAAATATTTATTATTGTATATACCATGCTTGTAAATGATATCTTAGTATAAAAGTTATCAAAGAAATTAAATTCAGCTACCGATAAGTTGGCATCAAAAATCAAGTTGGCTTTATAAACCTCTAAAGTTGCTCTTGAATAAAAAAACGATATGAAGAAATAATTATCAAACAATATATCCAATACAAGCTCATATCAATTCGATGATTATAAATATTGATTAATAAATAGCATGAAATTTTATAAATAATGCAGTAATTAACGATTTTCATTATTTTATTTTGTTTGCAAAAAATAAAACATAAAAAATAAATTTATAAGTTTTCACTTAAAAAATAAAATAAAAATTCTACATGTTTGCACTTGTCAAGTAAAATTAGTTTCCTCCCATATTTCAAATCTATATGGTTAAATTTTAAATTCCTTTTAAAACATATTTATTAACATAGAAAAGAAACAATAACAATGATGTGATCCAACACAACTAATTTAAATTCATCCAAATTGTGATGTAAAAATAAATTAAACATCAAAATGAAATGATCTAACATGATTATTGACCAGCGTTATATTAACATACTATTATGAAAATGTTTGTTTTCACATTATAAGATTTAAAAGAAATCATAACAATAAATTAAAAAAGTACTCTATTAAACTTGTCATTCGAGCTATTTTGTTTTAGAACTTTCAATTTGGGGGAAAAAAAAAAAAAACAATCTAGTACCTTTGATCCAAAATCATCCTTTTCATGAACTAACCCATGGTTTAAAACCTTATGGGACATTTCCTTCCACTAGACCAGCTTTCCTAAAATTATGTGTTGGGCATGTACTCATGTGAGTACAAATTCACTATTTATTTTTTTACCGACTTGAAAATTAATTATTTTTTTGATTATTTTTGATAAATATGAATTGATTTTAAAACCGAGAAAACAAAAAACACGAGAAGTGAGATTTGAATTTTTAATCTTTTATTAAAATTTTAAAACTTCTTCAACAGACCAATTTTCTATAATTACAAATTCACTACTTATTAGTTAGGAAGTTAGGAAAAAAAATATGGTTTTGATTGCATTTAGTATGGCAGACTAATTTATCGGTATTTCCGTTCTACGATACATCTGTTTTCAATTCAACTTCGGTACATGTGAAATTGAAAGTATATCATTTATAATATGTATTTGATTAAAATTATAAATTATCTATAATTTTTTTTTAAAAAATATGTTTATACATGCGTTCATAATCTAGTAGTTGCGTTTCAGATAACTTTTTCAAATTTTTATTTATTTAATTATCATATAATAAAAAGAATACTCATATTTTTCAGATCAATAAAAAAATAATTTTTTGTTTTTTTAAATCAAATCGAAGAATGAACGCCACCATTATTCATTTATTTGGGCGGCAATAATCTAATACCGGTCCTGTGATTGTGGAACACGTGTGCCATTTCAGTGGACCCATGACCGTCACATCGATATTTTATCCAGTGAAGATTGCCCAATCTCACATGGGCAAACCAAAAATCACATATGATACCTCTATTTTCAAATTTCACTATATAAAACCTTCTACTTTTGATCGAGTCAAATCAATCCCTTTAAGTAAACTGAAACAAATATATCATAACGAAGGGGCTGCCAAATATTAACTGGGAAAATGATATGTAGCAGAAAAAAAAGATATCTTACAAAATTTTATTTTTTGATTATTTTTTTCCCTCTAAAATAGTTTGAGGGGTGAGGATGTAAAATGAAGCAATTTTAGAGCATGATTATGTCACAAAAATAATGAGTTGAAATATGATTAGACTCGATAATACATTGTCAGTTCACGTAAAGTCATGTGAGCACAAATTCATTTTGCTACGGCAGATTAAATCATTGAGATGACTATACAATGCAATCTGTTTTCAATTCAAATTTTACGACACGTGAATCTGAAGCGTGTTAAGATCCAATTGGTTGGCCGGAAAAAATCTTACAGCATTGCCATGCTCGTGGAACATATGGAGAAATCATTTAAGGGAATATCCATGCATAAATATATAGGTTTTAAGAAACAGATATCAACAACGTTACTAGAAAGAATATCTCTAATAACAGATTAAAAAAATTCTAAAATAAAAAAAATATCACTTAAAAAATCAATATAAAATAAATAACAATTATCTGAATTATCTTTTTTCAATATATAGTTAAAAGATATATATCATTATCGTTGATAAAGACATCATATATCAACAATTATAATAGAAACGTATAAATAGAACTTTATTAAAGATAATATTGATTATTTTTTGAGAGTCAGCCTCATAATCATTAAAATATCATAATTTATATATAAGAGTACGAATCTTCGTTGATTTTTTTATTAGCCATCACACCTTTAAACATTTTGGTTAATTATAATATTTTTAAATTGCTTAAATGATCATTATACTCTTATTTAATATATGTATGTTTTCTATATAAAAACATCATATCGTTTACTCCTTATTTTCGCATGGAGTATCAGAACTTCCTTCTTATTATGTTAGTGACAAGAAAAATTGATTTTTGATGTATGTATCTATGTTGCATTGCCCTTTTTTTAAGAAAAAAACAAATTCGGATTCTTTGTCACTTCTAACATGACACATGTTAATTGAATAATTAATTGCGTTATCTTTTGATTTGTCATGGATTATATTGACATGTGTAAGGAACCATAAAATCAAAGTCAAATTGTGCTTTAATTGTTGGTCATTGGTCATTATCTGTTACAATCATTGGTGACGTATTAATTGTAATATTGTGAGTTGTGATGTGTCTTCGTTCTATTGATTGTCCTTTAAGTTACAGATGTCATCATGGGTTTTGGTACTACAATAAATTATCCTCGGTTTATGTAGAAAGGATATCATTGTATTGTTTAAAAACAAAATTTACTCTCATTTTATTAAAATTTCATAATTTTAAACTAATAGTATCGAATAACATAATTTAAATTCTAAAATATTTAAAATTAGATAAATATAATTTAAATTATTCAATCTCTATTAAAGTTTTTTATTTTTATTTTTTAAGTTTAAAATTACGAGGCTAAAAATATTTATAAAATATTTTCTTATATAATTTATATAAAATATTTATTTTATAAGAAATTTTTTTTAAAAAAAGTTTAAGATTGGGGAGTTAAATATGTTTTAAAAAATTAACATCGTGATGTTAAAACGACGTCGTTTTGACATTTCAAATAACGATCAACTCAATTGGCTATTATACATCATGAAAATTAAACAATTTGGATCATATCTATCCAATCTCCAATACTTTAAGATTCAAATTACATAATTTGATATTATGAATTCGAAATTGTCAAATCCTAATAAAATTGAAGCAAAATTTACCTTTAAACCATTATTATATATCAATGAAC